TGTCATAATATCTCCGACTACGAAACAAGAACGCAAGGAGTACCTGCCTCTCTGCAAACTCATACGGGCCTCCCGAAGACACGTTCGACTCGGCCAGTACAGCTTAAATACAGACTCGGACTATCACATCCTATATCAACAACTCGTCCTTCCCTGCCAGGCCTTGGAACTGTGTCCATCGTATGTCGGCTCATGGATTGCAGACTACAACGACCATCAATTCAACCCTACGAAACGTCTCGCAACTTACCTTTACGATGACTGCGCGCGTATACGAGTATTCGGCCACACATTGCCATTTCCGGTCGTGTGGTACTCTGCAATTTTGCAGACGAAGCTCACTGCTGACGACGTCTTCGTCGAAGACTTCCCGCCGAATGAAAGGACTCAGTTGCTTCTGGGTTCCGCCATAGCACGCTTTGGAGGCAAGCACTTTCGCTACCGAAGACTTCGACCTCAGAGGAGGATATTACATTCTAAGCTGGGAATGGAAGAACTTCTCAGACTTGTCCTGAGGTACGACGATGCGAGGCATGGGGTGGGTTGGTTGAGATAACATCACGAGCGACGTGGTGGCTCAGCCAGGGAGTCACACAATGTGCTTGTACCCAATGTTGCGCAATTAACAAGGATAGTCTGCGCAATCATGCGGAACAAACCAGAAGAAAAGCGATGGTATAATTGGCCTTTCTTCTACCCGAGGGGAGACACTGGCTTAGCTCGATTCTGAACCAATGTCTCGAATGTGGCGGACCCCTACTCCTAGCCCCGTAAGGTCTTCTACGCCACCAAACACTACGAATCCAACACCAGTCTCGATACTCCCTCCAATACAACATACATACGTCCTCCTCCGCTCCTCAATACAAGAATCCGTCGGCTGTCATGGCAGTCTAGTCACCATAGCCTCAGAACCGGAAGCACTCCACGTAACACCATCCTATCACGTAGCTTGTCAACTACTCCAGCTACATAAAAGGGATACGACAGATTTTCGCAATGACTATGCATATTGTCGAGTTTCCTACATGTATTCTCCTCCACCCTCTTCCGAAATCGAAGGTTGCGACATCACCCTTGTGAGCCGGTTCACGGACGCGCCAAAAACGATTGTACGCTTTCGAATCCAAAGGGTAGAAGTAGTGCATGAAGTGGACGCCTTTGGGCACAGAGTATAGCGCAGACACTCGGAATCCTCCACGAAAGAAGCGCACGAGCTTCGTATAGACTTCTTCGGCGAGCGATGTTGCCAAGGAACTTAGTAGATGGTCTGCTGACGGTGGTGTGTGAGGGAAGTGGCTGTGCATAGATAGGACAATCATGTATGTGTCAATGTCAGTTATATGATTGCGTTAGAGTTGCCAGACGCCTACAAAGACGCTGTTGAGTGCGTTTCAACATTCTAAACGACCGTGTGGACTCCAGGGCTGACCTTGCGCGTGTAACCCTGGACATGATTTGATTGTCTAGGTCGCGAATATATGTGACAGTAACTCATCTCGGACGATGTACTCATTGACCTCACAGCCCAGAACAAGGCTATCCGAGTGCTTATCGGCAAGGCAATAGCGGAGTTCGGCGTTAGATTGGAGTTCAGACTGCCGAGGCGAGTTACAAGCGTGAAACACTTGCCCACGTCGTACGTATCGGTGTATCCAAGAGTACTATTCGCTGCGCTGTCGTCGACTATACTTTAATGGCAAGTGTAAGAGATGTCACATACGAGTCAAGTGAACACGGCCAAGAGCTCTAGCACAAAGAGCCTGGAAGAATTATTTGATTGGACTTCTGTGATGGTCAGTTTGAAACGAAGTATTTGGGAAAGAGATGGGCGTACTTTGGGTACAGGATGGACTATGCTCCCACATATCAAGGTGCCGGGCTATAGGCTCGCGTTTCTCGTTGCTTCTAGATCCCTGGATCGCTATCAACTCACTCTACGAGGAAGCTTGTGTTTCGTTGAGATGACGTCCGACATGGGATGCCCTGGAGGTACTCGGTGTGTTGTGTGTTAGCAGACGTTAATTTTGACTACATCGAATACCTCCCGGGTGAGTCGTGTCGCCACGTAATACTAGTCCGCAAATTTAGAATTCTGATGATCACTCCTCACAAATGCTGGCATACGCTCCCAAGTTCTGTACGTCCCAAGCATGGAGAGTCTTCCAACCGGTGCGGCTCATCTATCGCATTGACTGCGTGCGTGAGAGGGTTCAGCTGAGAGTAGCATCTTCTCCCAAGAAGATATCACAAGAATATGGCGGCATACTCACGAAGGCTGATGCCAGGCTTTACGGCCTATCATATGAGCTCGATCGTCAAGCTCGCCAAGTATCCCGAAGGCATCCAGGCTCGCTTTATAGCTCAATTGTTCAGAGTACGGTCACGAGATCAAGTCGTTCCGTTGGATAGGCAGAGTAATGTTTTCATTGTTCCTGATGCTAATTTTGTCATTGTGTCAACGGTCTCTACTCTACTCAGTGTCGCGAAGGACGACAGGCTCATGTATCAAGTCAATATCCTCATCCGCGATGACCTTGTAGTCGGCAAGCCCACCTGTAATCTGAGATTTTGTTGTGTGCTTTTGGAAATATCTCACTGCTCACTATGAAGATGAAGGATGAGCAGTGAATGGCAGAAGCTTCCAGCGATGCACGTGATATCGCGCCCGCACACAGTCCGTGCCCGTCGCGCCTTCCTCGCAATATTTGACCCCGCAAACAAAGCCCGATCTGCCAAATCACCTCACAGAACGAAGACGGTGACTGCCAGTTGCCATCTCACCAGTGATGGCGCGCGGAAGACGCGCTAAGGCCGCCGCCTATCACTGTGCGATATGTGAGCAGTCCTTCTCCAGCAAAGCTGAGCTCAACCACCACACTGCCAACCACGACGACACCAGCACTGCGAAGCTGGTGTGCGCCACCTGCGGCTGGTATTTCGACGATTCGCACGCCCTCGAGCTCCACCAGATACAGAGCAGTCACGTACCTTCCCAACCAGCATCTACGAACTTGACAACGGCGCTTACCCCATCGGTCGACGAAATGGCGGTTCACTGCGATCGTTGCCAGAAGCAGTTCGTCACTCAGAAGCAATTCAGTAATCACCGCAGCAACATGGCGAGTGCGTGCGCCGACTGGAAGCACCCTACGACAAGGCCGCAGCCACCGACACCTGCTGTAGTTGCCCCGGGGTACGTGGATCTCGACAGACCCAATGACGAGCCATCTGTAGTCCCCAACTACGATGATGGTGCATCATCATCATCTGACTCCGTCGATAGCGATGTCGGCATCAAGTGCAACGACTGCAAGCGCACCTTCCGCTCCCTGGGCCACTACAACAACCACATGCTAGGTTGCACTCCTGTATCGACGGCCAAACAAGTCCGCGAGGTACTCCCAGCTACCGCATTAGGTAGCTCTCCAGTCACCATAAACCAGATGAGGGCTACAAACGCACCTGTACTGGCACCCCGGGCCCCGATTTCGTCTAATGTATCCTCCACGCATACCAGCAATCCGGCCGCTTTTGCATGCGATACCCGTGGTTGTGATCGTTCCTTCAGGTCCGAAGCCGGCCTCAAACAGCACAAGCAAGACGCTCACGGTGTCGGAGGTCAAGCATTGAACTTGGCCGGCCGCGACTCATGGATGCTCAGCAATCGCGAGCGAGAACGAATGCGGCAAGAAGGTTTGCTTCAACAAACTCCTTCCTCTCGAGGTCGTGGCAGCCAAGCAGGTCGTCCAGCCCCTCGTGGAGCACCTTCCCGTCCTCGGGGGGCTCCATCTTCAACAAGACCATCTGTACAGCAACAGCAATCTGCCTTCGCTCGTCCTATGCCGCAGCAACCTCGCTTGCCAGTCCAACAACCTCCTCCTGCCCCCAACAGCATCAACATGTGCGGCATTGCGGAGCTTGACCAGGCCAAATCTATTCAGGCAAAGACCCAACGTTTGCTCATCCAATCAGACGTCTTCATCCTACACGACGGAAAGGTCAACGCCTGCGATATTATGTGGACTCGGATCGGTGTCGCCAAACAGTACGACGTGGTTAAGATGCTCGACGGGATGTGCCATCTCCCAAGAATGCTGCAAGGCGAATACATACCTCCTCCAAAGGCATTGAAAGAAGATTACAAGGCCACGTATTTGTCAAGCGACTTCAAAGCCTCCCCCGAACGCAACATGGCCAAACCAGGCCTTGGCGCAGTCGCCATCTCATGCAGCAAAATCCTGCTAGCAAACGGCTGTCCCGAGGTCGTCAAGATAGCAGCTGTTGATCTGATCACCTGCCGAATCCTTATGAACCACCTGGTCTGTACTGATCCGCACGCAAAAGTCAAAGATTGGTACTCCCCGGTCACCGGATTGTTTAGTTGGGACGACATGGAGGGAGCTCGAAAAGTCGGGTACAAGATCTTCAAGGGCTGGGCGGCAGCACGGGACGCGGTACACAGGTTCGTCGACAAGGAGACCATCGTCGTTGGCTACAACCTGCGTTCGGATCTAGACGCTCTCCGTATGATCCATGGGCGCGCCGTCGATATCGCCAAGGTCGTTGAGAAGGCTGCTCAGGGTCCGCTCAGCAAGGCGCAGCTAGCACTGGATGGCTTGTGCCGCGATTTTCCTGAGATCAAGCTCAAGAGCGACCCCGAGTATGGCCGGGACAGTCTGATGAACGCTTTTGCGGTACGTGAGTTCGGCTTGTGGGCGCTTAAGAACGCCGATAAGCTCGGCATGTTGGCGAAAAAGAGGAGTCGAGAGTATCAGAACGCTATGCCAAAAGTTGCTGTTGCAGGAGCTTGATGAGATACGCAGAGTTTGAGACAGACAGAACAGATAGGATTACGACAACCAATGCAAAGAACTGAACCCACTTACTGATGATTGCTGTGATGTAACATGTGCATTGCAGACAACATCAGTACGAGAACCGATACCTAACAAGGTCCGAAGGCGATGTAGACTCCTGGGTGGTTTTCATGGAGATACCTACGCCTTCTCGTTCTTCTCCTCCTGTTCCTTCTCCACAACATCAACCACGAAAGCACCACCCAGCAAAATCGCCGGTTCATCAATACTATGATGCTCATAACTCAACGTGCCAACACCACCGGCCTCTAGAATCAAGCTAGGGTTCTCCTCCAACCTCTTCCCCACCCACCTCGCCGCAAAGCTCCTCAAAATATGCCCATGCGCCACAATAAGCACATCATTCGGCTTCCCATCCTTCCCAAACTTACCCTTGTGATACTTCTCCCTCAGCTCCTTGATCAGCTTATCCAGTCTCTCCGTCACATCTTCTGGACTCTCGCCGCCTTCACACCCGTCTTTCCATATGTCCCAGTTAGATCCCAATCCGCGTTTCTCGCGGTCGGCTTTTATTTCAGAGGTCACGCGGCCTTCGTAGTCGCCGTAGTCCCATTCCCGGACTGCTTCTGTTACTTCGATTGTGGCGTGTGTGCGGATGTCAGGCGTGTGCGGTTTCGAGGTGGAGTGCCAGGGGTAGCGTTCTTTGCAGCCGAGGTTTAGGAGTTCGAGGGTACGTTGGGAGCGTGTGCGGGGCGAGACGTAGCTGTGTGGGTGGGTAGGGTCAGTGGCTGAGAGTTTTGGCGTTTCTTGGGTTGTGTCTGGGGAGTTTGAGAAGGGAATTTGGACGTACATGTGGGCTAGATTGCTCGGCACGATCAATCTGTCGTCGCCGACGAGCGCTTTGCCAGTGGCTTTTACGCGCTTCTCGCCGTTTTCGGTGAGTGGTATGTCTGAGACTCCTGTGTGGCGTCCGTTGAGCGACCATTCTGTTTCGCCGTGGCGGATTATGAAGACTCGTGGGTCGGGCATTGTGTCTATTCGTAGACCTGCTGTTGTGGCTGCTGTAAGACGAGGATCGGAGTGACGAGACGAGACGCGCAGGGAATGGGTCAATTGAAAAGTTCGGCAGTAAAGCGCGTAGAAGATGAGGTCACAAGCAACGTTACGAAGGTAAAGTCTAAGGAAAGCGTGAAATGAAGAATGCAACCATCACGGCAGCTACCGGAGCTCAGTCCGTAGGTATGACGTTGGTATGGGGATTTATTTAGTATGGTGGGGCGTGCCAGGGACGTGTTGGAGCTACCCCACCATATCCGCTACACGCGCCTTGTCATGCTTCGACGCGCATAGTAAGCCTTGGTCATCGCATTGTTGGGAAGCTTGAGTTAAGATGGCTTCGAGTATATGTTGAGCGCATTTACTTCTGCAAAAGGAAAGATAAAGTGGCGCGAATGTAAGAGACAAGCGTGAGGTATCTTGGCTAAGATTTGGTGTAAAAGTAGAACTGCTCCCAGTCTGAAGATGCCTGGGCAGATAGAGACGCGAAAGCACCTGCTGTACCATCTATCTAGACGCGTGTGAAAGCCGACCCATCTCATCACTCTGCTACAATGGCGCTGTCTGGCACGCACTGGAAATACCATTCTAACAAAGATTAGTTTCGTAGCACAAGAACGACGCATTAGTGTCCACATACCGTTCTGTTCTACGCATGTTGAGCCCTTTTCGCAGACCGTGCAGCCGTCCCAAGGCTTAGTGTAATCCCAGCCTCCGCACTTGTAGTAAGCAGGCACAGGGCATCTCGTGCTGCTCGGGCCAGTCTCCTCAGTGGTCGTCTTTGTGGGCTTCTCGGTAGTCTTTGTAGTCGTCTTGATGGTAGTCTAAAGAGATTAGTATGCATTCGCGATGAGACACTACAATGACTGACCTTTGTCGGGGTAGGCTCTGGCTTCTTGCTAGTCGTGGGCGGTTCAGGCTTCTTGGTCGTAGTGGTCGACGTTGGTGCTGGCTTCGTACTTGACTTGGGTGGTTCAGGCTTCTTTGAAGTGGTTGTAGGTGTAGGCTCGGGCTTCTTGCTTGATGTGGTCGGCTCAGGCTTCTTGGTTGTTGTTGTCGTTGTGACTTTGCTTGTCGTTGGCTGTGGCACACCCGATGTAGGCCGGCTGATGTTGTCGGTGCAACGACCCCCAATGCATGTTATGATGTACGTCTGGCGAGGTACAATGTCGACATGGTTGTTTGCTGGCGCCTATTGCTGTCAGTATGAGACACTCTTGCGAGTAACGAGTTGCCTAGGTACATACCGCAAAGCATACTGCCGAGAGGCTTGTCAAAAGCGCAAGCGTCGTGAGCTGCATGGTGGTTTGATAGTCAGATAATGATATGTTCGTGAACGAAGATGCTTATCCAGCTGAGGGGTCTGAATTGATGGGACAGCGACAGCATCTTATATCAACGATCTTATGCTACTAGTCGGTTCAAGTCTAGGAAGTCAACGACAGGCTCAATGATGGCTTTCTGGCTCTTGTTCTGAACACCCGCGGCTCCATTGTAGACATGCAGTCTGGCCAGGGCCAAGCTCAGATACGAGGCCATCCTAATCTGCTCTTGCATTCGCCTATATTGTGGCTAGCGAGTTTGTGTGCCATTGTGACGGTACAGGCAATGTCAAGCATGGCGAGATCTCGTCCAGTCAGCCAAACACGACAAAGCACTCAAAAGTTGCATTTGGAAGTCTTGGAGAGATAGGATGCGCTGCGATCGATGGATGTATCCGCGTTCGTTGCAGTGCATTGCAGAGTGATGCTTAGACGGGTCGCCCACGATACACAGCTACAAGGCTTTGACCAAAATTCATTGCCTAAAGGCCATCCGCAGCTCGCCTGCGTTCCGAGATGCTTCGCGACTATTCTTGATGCTATTCTTATCCATGGCCACGCTTATAGACTGGGATGTGTTTTAGCCGCAAATTGATACCCAGTTGACCCATGTCCGAACACCAGACTCACATCCACTCGAGGGCGATCGTGATTCGTTTCCTTTTCCCAGATGGCGAAAGGATAGATTGTTCGATACAAGCAGTGAGACTGGTAGCCGGAACACTTGACGGGAAACCCGCGCGACGCTCGAGACGATCGCAGGATTGTATCGTAACCCGGGGGCGGATGATTAGGATGCGGAAGAGTGGGCGCTCTGCATGCCGAGCCAGATCATGGGGTTGACACTGCTCGAGAAAGCTCTAGGCGAGGAATGGCAATAGTGCGCGAGGAGCCACATGGGTAAAATGAACGGTAGTTACTGTCCAGGCCTCGAGGGTAATACCTGATCATTCACCGCCTGCTCCATTCTCTTGCTGAGTGCCATTTCCCAGAAGGTCTCCAACACCAATCCACTTCCTCACAAGGAAGGCGCCCTGTGGTCTCAGCTTCCTGTAGTATCCCTCTTCTCTCTCGAGTATCTCAAAGTTCCGCTTCTTGTACCATTCCATGCCTTCCTCATTGGCCTCCCACACATGTGCTGTGACACAGCGTACACTGTGAAGCTCGACAGCTTTTTTGACTATCGTCTGTAGAAGATGCATAGCGATGCCGTGGGAGCGGTAGGGAGCTAGGACGCCAATAGTGGAGATGTATAGGTTCGAGGAAGGAAGTATGCGACATCGGACGGCACCAACGAGATGTGGTTTCTCTGTGGGAGATGCTGAGGTGGCATTCGCGGGCGACGAGTGCCATACTGCTACGAGGGTAATGCCGTGGTGTGGCTCGGTCATTGTTTCCTTGTAAAAGGTCTCTGGGTAGGATATGGGGAGAGTGAGGGTATTCAGGCGCTTGAATGCTGGTAGCAAGTCTTCGGTCAGGGGTACAAGTTGGACGTTCGGCGGTAGAGGGCGTAGGTCGAAGAGCTTCGGGATGGCTGGCTGTTGGGTAGAGAGGGTGATGGGTGAAGGTATGCGCGAGATAGCAGGCGTGACTGTTCGAGAGGGACGAGGGCTCTTCTTTGATCGCGGTTTTGAGGGTGCTTGGAGGAAGTCGTCGGGTATATCGTTCCAGTTCTCCATGTTCGAAGGCGTAGGGGTCGGGTTAGAGGGAACGCGCGTCGGCGCAGAGACAGACTTTGGGGGAGGCGGTGGCCGGTTTGTCTTTGATGATGCCATTGGAGGAGCGTTTGAGGGCGGCGCGGGTTGTTTATCGAGGCTTGGCTTCTTGAGCCAGTTGTTTAGGGAGGACTGCATCGCGGGAAGGGAGGGGCTGGGTTGGCTGTGATGTTGTCGTCGTGGGTCGTGGTTTGGGTAATGATAGCCAATGGATGGTCACGTGGACAACAGCGAGTTGCTCAAGTTGTATCCTCGCGGTGCGTTGTGAATTGTCACGTAATGAAAGCGGAACCCACAAACACAAACATGAGGGGAGACTTCTGGTGTTTCCCTGACGCGCCCTCGGATCGTTTGCAGGGATGCTTCCTAGCGTGCTTTCGCCGGCCAAGCCGTCAGCTCCGACTTCTTGCAGGAACAGCATCATCGCTCTAGAAATCCCCAGGAGCCACCACCGCAACCATGGGCGCCGAGAACTCAAAACCCTCGTCAGAGGTCAAGCAGCACGTCTTCTCCTCGTACGTCGCATCTCCCACATCCAATGGCCTCAGCCCCTCATAAGAGATGAATCAGCCAGTGACGTCGTGTGCTGATAATTTGCGCGCAGAGATCACCCCTACAGCTTCTCCAATGAACTCGTCGGATCGCTGCAGAAGAACACTTTCGTACGTCAAATGGCTCAAATAGGCGAATTGGGGCTAACACACGTGCAGACAGACTCGGCGCGATCAAGACAGCAAGAACTCCAATACCAGGAACGCCTAACCGCCGAGCTCGAGAAGCTGCGCGAGCAAGAAACCCAGAATTTCTCCAAGTTCAGCGAAACCCTCTCCACCGAGACCCCACAGTCCGATGAACCCTCCCTAGTCGAGAAGATCCAGGATGCGACATCTAGCAGCTCCACCCTCGCCGAGAAGCAAAGACAAAAGGACATGAGCAGGGACAGTGTCACCAAGGAGATCGAGCAGCTCAAGGCGAAGCTCGAGCAGAGGAAGAAGCTGGAACAGGCCGATGCCGATGTCACCAAAGCCAAGGAGGCTGTCGTCTCATGTCTGCGGACACACGACCGCCGACCGCTGGATTGCTGGAAAGAAGTCGAAACCTTCAAGCAGGAGGTCGGACGCCTGGAGAAGGAGTTTGTACAAAAGACGATCCGATGAGACACGACGCGAGATTGTGACGGTGAGATTTGGTATAGGCGCCTTTGTATAGTTGGGTTAGGTGGGATAGCATCCTTGAGAGCATTTCTTATCTCCAAATCCCTACGGTACTTATTACTTGCATCTTGCTGAATACACCGCTACTACACTACCCATGTGGAATCGCGCGGGGTACCTTTACTGCGATGTTTTTATGACTGTTGGTTACGTCTCTTTCAACTGTCGGTTCTTTCAGTCACCACAACTATCTTCTATTTCTTGCACATTTTGAGAGATTGATCTCAAGTTTCAAGTATGTTTGTCCATGGCTTTGGCTACCAGTAGACGAGCATCACCTTTGCATCGCAATTCGTCATCACAAGTCGCCCTCACCGCGCGTCAGAACGCGTGAGTTCTCTAGGCTGCCTACGCCATCTGCAACAAAACTGGGCTACAGCTCACCTTCCTTCCCCTTCTGGCGTCTAGCAGACTCACCTTCACCGTTGATGCCTTGGCGCTTTGGCCTCTTTGCTAGAATAACAACACAGTGTCTCTCGCAGTTTCGACTGCTAAACACCACGCAGGCAGCTTTAAACACCGGCTACAGCAACATCGTGTCTGTCCGTTAGTTGCACTTCGGAACTCGCAAGTCGCGATAAATCTCTAGCTATCGTTGCTAGCGCGCGCATTGCAGCAACTACCTAGTCACGACTTTGTGCAAAGGGCAACTGCCAGGTAGGCCGCGTGGATCGTCGCGCTTTCCACTCCTACTTTCGTGATTGTGTCGCTAATACTAAGAAGCAGCAGCAGACAACATGTCATCAACACGACCCTGCATCGTACCCGACGACTATAACGAGACCTGGAACGATGATGACAGTGATATCGAGCTTCTCGACTATGGTGAGTCACTACTTCCTCGTTTGACTGAGTTCATTGACTGATATTTAAATCTCAGATTCCGAATCCGATCTTGAGATCACCGCTGTTAATTCTCGTGAGTCATCTGCTACACCAACCACTCAGAGCTCGAACAAGGGAAAGAGCCGCACACGCAAACCTCCCCCAGGCAACGACATATCTCTACCGGATGTTGCAATCCAGAGATACAAGATCAGCAATAGTTTCGTCATAAAGCCGGGCGATACCGTAGAGTTGAAAGATCGTTCGAACCAAGATGAGGGTGCTATGCATTCGGGAGATTTTCTTCGTATCAAAATCATCATTATGAACATGGAGACGGATGAGGTGCGACTCCGAGGTTGGCGAATGCGACGCACTAAGTACCTTGGCCAAATCTTCGATTGTGAGTACGATAGATACAGGCTTGAGGACATATACTGACTTCTCTCAAGGGAAGATGAACGAATTGGGCATGGTCCTCCGTCTTGACGAAGATGATCGTAGACCACCTTTTGTCGCGGGCATGGAAGACGTCGACATCGAAGAGGTTGACCGAGCGCGCGAGTGTACGCTGACCAACAAACCTTATCCGTTCCTCAGCTTCCGATCCGAGGGTCGTGCTGCATGGCCGAATAGTATGAGTAAGGACGACATCAAGAAGCAAATATTCCACGGTGGCAGGCTCACTTGCCGTGTTGTCAACATTCTCTACATGAGCGGCACTAGATCAAAGCCATACGGCGGTATTGTTCGTCATCTATATACCCACGAGGCGGATGCAACTGCGACTCCAGCTCCCACTCAGGGTCCCGGTCTTTCTCGTGAGACGTCGATAGCGATAGAAGATTCTAAAGAGCCTGGCTACGTTGTCGTGAGCGAGGAGCCTTCCTCGAAGAAGCGGCGTGCACGCGATGAGTCTCCTGACTTCGAGATCTTGGACCATGAGCCATCAAAACGGAAGATTCGGCATCCTTCGAAGCAGGGCCGTCTGGTATTCGGCGACGTATTCTGCGGAGCTGGAGGTGCAAGTCAAGGCGCGGCCCAAGCCGGGTACTATGTTCAATGGGGTCTCGACAATGATGAAGGCGCGTTTGCTGCATACCGCCTGAATCATCCTGGCGCGTACGCATGGAAGATGAATGCGCATGACTTTCCGCCAAACGGTATTAGCAAGGAGAGCTGGAAAGTCGATGTACTCCACCTCTCGCCTCCTTGCTGTTACTGGAGCCCCGCACAGTAAGAGAACATTTTCAGGATATGATCATTTACTAATAATCGTTAGTACCCGCGATGGACCCAAGGATCAAGAGAACTACGAAGCCATTTACACTGTTGGTCCGATCCTTAACAAAGTCAAACCGCGTGTCGCAACCCTGGAGCAGACCTTTGGCCTCGCCACCCGCGAGCAGCACAAGAGGAACTTCCTCATGCTCTTGTACGACATTGGCAAGGCTGGTTACGATGTCCGCTACAAGATCCAGGACCTGAGCCAATACGGTCTCGTACAGAAGCGTAAGCGTCTATTGATCATCGCTGCAAGGTCCGTCATTTGAGTTCCACATGCCCATGATACATGTACTGACATGTTCCAGACGGGGTACACCTCTCCCTCCCTTCCCAAAGCCCACACATGGCGCCCCAGGAAGTGGATTGAAACCCTATGTATACATCGATCAGGCCCTCAAGCACATCACCCGTCAGGGCAGCCGAGCTATGGACGACTTCTACCATCAGCCCAAACTGTTTCCCATCCCCAAACCAGCCTACGATGCGCGGACTTTCCTCCGCGGCTGTATAACAACCGGCGGTACAACAGCCTGCCATCCTTCGGGCATACGCAACTTCACACCTCGCGAACTCTCTCTGTTCCAGAGCTTCCCATACGTGTATGAGTTTACTGGTGCCAATAGTGAGGCCACGAAGCAGATAGGCAACGCCTTCCCACCAATCATGGCCCAAGCAATTTACCATACCATTAAGAAAACTCTAGAAGCCTTTGAAAAGGGCCTTATCGGAGCAGAAGATGACCTCTCTGATCTGGATTTGATTCTGGAACAGAGCGGTGAGAGCGCTCCTCAACAGCGACGGCTCGACAGCTTCACCGGCAGCGCAACACACTCCAGACCTTCTCGACCTGCCAGCTCTAGGATGGCGAGAGCTACTGAGTCGCGAACTGCATCGCCTTCCACGCGCCATACGGCAGAGTCGATGCAACCACCACGCAGGAATGCAAGCGGCTTTCCGTCTTTGAATCTCCTCGATGGGGTGCTGGATGGCATCAGTAATTTCGCGAACAGGAGCACCGCTTCCGCCAGCAGGTCCACCGGACGACGTCGCGAACCTAGTATTCCAGGCGACGATGACGAAGTCATCCATATCCCCAGCGACAGCGAATAAGCTTCTGAAATTCTATCTGAAGAGGAGGGAATCGTTACTGCGCGAATTGATCTCATGGATATTCGGAAGCTGCGCCGCCTTAATTTACTTGGGCAGGAGCAATCGCTGAAACATCGAGTCATGCGCATTGAAGCAGTCGGTTATCGTGACAAGCTACACGCCATCTGTGTGAATACAGTTCGTTTCACATCTAGGTTGCAAGGATAGTCTGTGAGGAACTTGTACAGCGAAGTACGTGCATACTACGTTTTCCTAGTTCCTAGTTACAGTCAACTTGTATATAGAATACTCAAGATGTTTCCACTTCTTGCCCTAGGTGTATGCGTGACAAGATGTGTTACACGCGATGTTGGCTGCTTTACTTCCTATCCATGGATCTCAAGAGGGTGCGACAATGCTCGATCTTGATAACGCGCCTCACTAGCTCCATCGCGTCATAGCACACCATGTATCCGTAGAATGTCTAGGAGAACACTCCGTACACTCCAAACTGCCCAGGTGAGGCCTTTATGCGCGCAGCCTCCTACTGGTGGACATAATCGGAATATTCTGCGGGATACTAATCGGGCCTGACCACAAGATAGACAAGAGTAGAGCACAAGGCTACCGAAAGAGGTAGTTTGAGAGACATACGCTATTGTCCCGACCCCCAAGCCAAGCGCTCCCCAGACTGCATGTGTGAAGCACAAGGCCGTCATACCG